CCACCGTTAAATCTCTTTCCCCACGACTGCCTTGTATTCTAACCCAGAGCATTTCAGAGTGCCCCCCAGCCGCCCCAACATTTTTGTTGTCCTGAGATGGCCTCCAATTTGTTCACATCTTTTTTGTAGTGGGTACCCAAAACTGAACACAGTACACTCCAGAAGTGGCCTCACCAGCACTGAATAGAGGGGAATAATCACTTCCCTTCCCTTCCTGGCAACAAGGGCATACTACCGACTCATATTCAGCTTATTGTCCACTGTAAAACCCAGGTCCTTTTCTGCACAGCTGCTGCCCAGCCAGTCAGTGCCCAGCCTGTACCAGTGCATGGGATTGTTCCATCTAAGTCCAGAACTTTGCACTTGTCCTTGTTGAATCTCGTGAGATTCCTTTTGGCCCAATCCTCTAATTTGTCTAGGTCACTCTGAATCATAGCCCTACCCTCCAGCATATCTGCTACTCCCAACAGTTTGATGTTATCTGCAAACTTGCTGAGGGTGCACTCTATATCATCTTCCAGGTTGTCAATGAAGACATTGAACAAAACCAACATCAGGACCAACCCCTGGGGGACTCCAATTGATACCAGCTGCCAATTAGACCTCAAGCCATTGATTACTACTCTGAGCTGGATGCTCCAGCCAGTTTTCTATCCATTTAAAGTCATTCGTCAAGCCCATACTTCCTTAGCTTGCCTGTGAGAATGTTGTGGGAGACCATATCAAAAGCCTTGCTAAAATCAAGGTGCACAACATCCACTGGTCTCCCCGCATTCACAGAGCCAGGCACCTTGTCATAGAAGGTGTTCAGGTTGGTCAGGCATGACTTGTCCTTGGTGAATCCACGATGACTGTTCTTAATCACGCTTTTCTCCTCCAGGTGCTTATAAATGGATTCCTCAATGATCTGCTCCATGATTTTTCCAGGGACTGAGGTGAGGCCGACTGGTCTCTATTTCCATGGATCTTCCTTTTTTACCCTTTTCTTAAAGATGGGCACTATGTTTGCCCTTTTCCAATCATCCAGGACCTCTACTGTTAACCATGAGTTTTCAAAGTCGATGGCCAAAACTCTGCAAGCACATCAGCCAACTTCGTAAGGACCCTCGAGTGCACCCCTTCTGGCTCAATGGACTTGTACACATCCAACTTTTCTAAACAGTCCCTAACCTGTCCCTTTCACCACTGAGAGCTGCTTACCTCCTCTCCAAACTGTGCTGCCCATTGCAGTAGTCTGCAAGCTGTCCTTATCTGGAAGATGAAGGCAAAAAAGGCATTGAACACTTCAACCTTTTCTGCATCCTCTGTCACAAGGTTGCCTCCCCCTATTCAGTAATGGGCCCACACTTTTCCTGATCCTCTTCTTGCTACCAACATACTTGTAGAAACCCTTCTTGTTACTCGTCACATCCCTTGCAAGCTACAAACTTCAACTGTGCTCTGGCCTTCCTGCCTTCATCCCTGCATGCCCAAGCAAAGC